GGAAGGAACGGAGCCATGCAATTTTCCCATAAGGCAGAGACCACATGCACCTGATGGCTACTTGAAAGAACAATTTAGGAGGCCTGGGGGAAGCCTCCCTCAATAAAAATTATCAACATCAAGGTATGGTGGGCGACTAGAAAGGGTGACCGCCCACAAAGTGAGGGCAGCAGGGACTCCAGAGGCTTCCTGGCCACCCCTGGAGAGGCACCCTGCCACAGTGTTATTTCCCTGAGGTAACTTTTCAAAGTATAACAATGATTCAGAATGAGGAAAGTTGGGCAATACATTAATAGAAAGAATGAAAGACTAAGCATAAATAAAATAGTAAATATTTAAATTAAGAGAGAAATTATCTGATGTCATAATGCAGTGACATCAGAAGATTTACACTAACAAGGAATTTGACTTAAAGTACCTAGGAACATCTCAAAAACAAACAAAAAATCCCCATATTTTGTGTTACATGCGGTCTGTGCATCCTTTGTATATTGTTTGTCATCTTAGGTTATGAAGTCTTTATGGTGGGTCTCAGTTTAAAAGAGTAAGAAGGACAAAGTTATTTGGGTAGTAACTTGAGTTAGAAAAGCTCAAGCTTTTGTGGGAAATTGAGGTTGAACATGAACATTAGTGCTAGCACTAAATAAGCAAATTACTCCACTAATATTTTAACTCTAACTAACTAACCCATTTTAGCCAACTGTGATGAGGATGCTCCCTTTTTTGGGCATTTTCATCAATGTTCAAAGATTGCCTAACATACCGTGAGTGGTGCATTAGTCCAAAAAATAAATAAGTGATAGGAAACAATGCTTTTCAATTAATATTTGATGTATACACTCTTTGGTAGAACCATTAACTCAAAACACAGGCAGGGCTGAAAAATGATGAGGTTATGGTTTCCATCTCCAAGTTTCTTGGGTGTTTTTCTTTTCTTTAAAGATTTAGAGAATAGCTAATATAATTTTAATGGTGTAATTGTTACCAAGCACAAACACAGATAGGCTTGAACTTATCAACCCATTCTGAAAGTTATTCCTATAGTCCAACAGGTCAATACCTATACAAACTACAGATTCTGAAGATATATAGCTGGCACAAATCAGTCAGTTATTTATAATGATTGTCATATTTGTTTATTAAGTCTATTACTTATCATGTGTGTGAATGGCTCTGAAGAAATTCTATCACTTCTTATTAACTACCTAACGCACTATAGCTGAAAATGCATAAGGTCTTTCAATAGGCTTATAGCAAAAGCAGTATAATGCTTAATACTACTATGTCTTTGGTGTTAAAGTCTGCATGCCATTTCAGAGCTGGAAAGAACTAAAATTAGTTATCTTTCTGGCCAGATTCTGTGCTTTGCCACAGAGATGGTTGCAGGCCACTAAAAGAGCTCAAGGTATAAGGGGGCTGGGGGGAGAATCATTATATCATTATATCATTCTTGTAATACTTACAATAAGCTTTTTCCTGATCGCTTCCAGCTTTTCAGTGGCTGCTGCTAGATCGGCATTTGCCTGAGCTAACGCATGACGTTTTGGCTCCACTTCACAAAAAACCTTCAGAAATACAAACAATGCAGTTTTATTGACACACAAGTTAGGCTCTAAACTCACTACTGAAATTGGCCATGTAAGAGCTTCTAAACTGTGTGATGAACCAGCAGGTCATATTTATTTTACCTAACAATTTCTCATACAGTTATGAAACATCAAAACCTTATATTAAATGCATGACTATAGCCATATTATATATATATAAAATGTATTTATTCAAATCCAAGATCACCCTGAATTTAAGATGACCTCCCAATTATTAGATTGTAGTCCTGGAAAATAATTTGTTTTAATTCTCCATGTCTAGAATCTAGTTATTGGAGGGTCCTCTTAAATTTCTCTCTCATTAATTGTTACTCGGTTGAATTATAGGTATAGATTAAGTTTTCCCTCTTTTTCTAATGGTATCAGCTATGCCAAAAACAGGGAAACTAACATATTTGCAGAGGTGGCTGTTACAGATTTCACATTGGACAGCTGGGCCAGAACTGTGAAATTTTATTGGAAACAACTTGCAGAGAACAATGGTGGTATTACTCTGGAGATAAAATCATTGTGGAAGATTAAAAAAACAGACTAGAATCCGTGTGGCCCACTGTTCTTGTAGATTAATTCAGTGCGACTACTCTAATACCAGAAGAGCCTCAGTACAGGGAGTACTTCTGGAAAGACTATGAACCAGGGGAAATTGTAGAAATAAACAGTGATTGGAATGCTACAGGAATACACGAAGATGTAATTGATATAACAACACCACTAAAAACTCTGGGTTTCTTGGGTTGCTAACTTTGAGGCTCTATGCATGTTACATATACTCAAGTGCATTTAGGTTGTAGTAGTATCATTTATCAGTATCAGTATGTTATCAGTATCTTATCTATTATGATCATATATAGCTTATTACTACTGCATAAATCAAAACTGTTTCTAGCCCACTGGGTTGCCTTCTGTCTGTACATTATGCTTTTCCAGGATGATAGACATCCTTCTCTATAAGAAGACAAAAAGGAGGGGAATGTGGGCTTCACTGGAGCGCTAATCAACATATATATAGATACTACTCACACAAAGGCTCTGCTAAAGCATTAGTGGAGTAGGCTTGACCAGCAAACCTGACCAATGTATGAACCCCTTACACAAGCAGAAATTGCAATGTGCAAACATGGTCAGGATGATGGCACAAGATGCTGAATCTTATCATGAGATGGGTGGAAAGGATGGTTGTTCTAGGCACAGGATGGTCCAGTACCTGTGTGATAAGACTAGGGTAGGAGTACCCAGAACAGGATGCTCATGGAGCAAAGATACAGATAGAATGTAATATGTAATTTGATCACTATATAAAAGGCAGGCTGGCAGTACAGGAACTTCACACTAGCCTAGGAGAGCGTGTGTGTTGTTGTGCCAACTACCTTGCCATAGGCACAAATGCATTAACTTGGTCTGATGTACTTGTTAGGCTAAAATGTGTTAGGGCTTTGGTTGTAGACAATAAACCTGGCTGAATCTTTGTCACAAAACTGAACCCGTGGTCATTCTTTATGACAAGATTAGTGTTGGAATCTGCTGGCTGCAACTTTTGCTAGTACTACAGTTCCTGAGACTTCAACACCAACAATATTTCCACCTTCAATCTTTGCCTGCATTTAGTATTATATTTCCACTAAACATAGGACACTGAGCCCATGTCTTCAAGAATCACAAGCTGCTCTGATAAGAATCCAGCTGTTATTCTGGTAAGAAACAAAATATATTGGTAAATGGTACCTCATAGAATTTTACTATGTTGATGACCCAGGCACAGAGACCAGCTGCTGCAAAGGACTTAGTGTGAACCAAGTTTGGGTTGAATTCAGGATCTTTCAAGTAAAGTTCCTTGACCACTTTCAAACAATTTTCAGGTATATGCTTTTTATCATACTTAATTAAAGCTTGTAAGAAGTCATCAACCTGCAAAAATAGGAGACCTATTTTAGCAAATCCCTTGCAGGGAACATTCAAGGATCACAAGTTCCCTTGTTTTATTGACTTAACTGCATGAAATCAAAAACTGTGCATTGCATATGTTTTACTGCTTTGGGTGTAAAATTGAATGGAAAATCTGCCAAAGGGACAAAGAAAAACCTAAAGCATCTTTGTGTCTCTTTTCAGGATTCATTTGGGGAATGTCTGATGTGAGACAAAATGATACAAGTCTTCCTCTGCTTGACTGTTCCTATATTTTTGGAAATTGTTAATATCCCACAATTGGTGCACATGTTGACTTGAGTTTACCATGGAAGTCACATAGAGAAATGATTCAACTGTTTTTGTTGATATTATATTTGAAATAAACTTCCTTTGGCTCTCATATCTAATTAACTACTTATCTCCTGTCTCTTCTTCCTAAAGGTCAGTACCTTTCCCATGAAGACTTTTGCAGCTTTCCAACTTCGGTCTTTGGGCACTTTGCCTTTAGAAGCCAGTAACACCATCACTGCAGCAGTAACATTGGTTACTGCAATTGGTGGATTGGGAAAGGCTTTCAGTTCTGTGAGGTTAACCTAAAAAATAAACACAAAAGAATCTGCAGAATGTTGCCATGCATACAGTTAGATACCTATGTAGCAAGAGATGTCTACAAAGAAATAATGCATCTGCTGATGCAAGAGAGGTACTATAGAACATTTGGATAAAGAGATTAAGAACCTACAGTCGGGAGCAGTGCAAGGATTTTTGCCACCACAGGAAACAACTTTGCTGCTTTCTCTTGTAATGTACCTGAAACCCGGTGAGGGTATGCCAGACAGAGGCCCAGAGCAGCAGTTTGGCGTGCCAGAGCTGCACTGCTCCCTTTTGCAGAGACTCCTGAGGTAGCCTCCACTGAGGATGTTCTCAGAACAAGGAGCAATGGTCTCAAGTTGCAGGAAGGGAAGTTTAGTTTAGGTATTAGGAAAAAATTTCCACTAGGAGGGTACTAAAACACTGGAACAGGTTACCCAGGAAGGTGGTAGAATCTCCATCCCTGGAGGTTTTTAAGACCTGGCTAGATAAAGCTTTGGCTGGGATGATCTAGTTGGGGACAGTCCTGCTCTGAGCAGGAGGTTGGACTAGGTGACCTCCTGAGGTCCCTTCCAACCCTAAATTTCTGTGATTCTGTGTGTGAGGTGTCTGCACACCATTTTTTGCCTCCCCCTTCAATTTGTTGCTCTAGGAGGCTGTCCCTGCTGCCTGGCTAGTTACACTGGCCTTGCCTACAGCTGTGCTCTCTGAAGACTATCGGTTGCTTATGATCCCACTGCTTTTTATTCTATTCAGTAAATAGAGCAGCAACTATATGGAACAACAGTTTTAAATGAAGACATGGTTGTACACCAGCACTAAACACTATGAATTCCTATTTGAATCTCTGGATTTATCTTGTGAATTGTGCATAGATGTTTGCACATTTAACAACGCTAATTTTGCACGGCATCCCTTAGCACCCTACTTGAGAATAGCTGATTTACATTGATTCTACAGTTTTCTACTGTAGATAGTGCAAAAGCTATTTTTCTCATGAGAAGTTCATATTGGATTCAAATTAACTAAGTAAATTATCATAGAAATTAAGGGCTGGAAGGGACCTCGAAAGATCAAGTCCAACACCCCTGCTCTGGGCAGTAATACTGCTGAGATCAAATGATCCCAGCATGGTGTCTGCCCAGTCTCCTCTTGAAGACTTCCAAGGTTGGGGACTGTACCACCTCCTTGGGAAGCCTATTCCAGATTCTTGTCACTCTTACTGTAAAGAAGTTCTTCCTTACATCCAACCTGAAGTCATACTTTAACAGTTTATGGTCATTACTCCTTGTTATCCCCTGGGATGCCCTAGTGAACAGTTTTTTCTCCCAGCTCCCAATATTCACCCCTTACATACTTATAGACAGCCACCAACTCCTCCCTGAGGGTTCTCTTCCCAGGGCTGGACACTCCCAGATCCCTTAGTCTTTCTTCATAAGGTTTGCCCTCCAGGCCTTTAATCATTCTTGTGTCCCTTCTCTGGACCCTTTCAAGATTCTCCACATCTTTTTTGAAGTGTGGCATGGAGTGGACACAGTACTCCAGCTTGGGCCTCATCAGTGCCAAGTATAGTGGAAGTAACACCTTCTTAGCCCTACTCGCAACGCATTGGCTAATGTATCCCACTATGCTATTAGCTCTGTTGACTACAGCGTTGCACTGGCAGCTCATGTTCATCCTGTGATCAGTCATAACCCCGAGGTCTCTTTCAGCCACCATGCTGGTCAGGACATCTCCTCCTAACCTATATTCATGTCGCTGGTTACTTCTCCTCAGATGAAGCACTCTGCATTTATCCTAATTGAACTGCATCCAGTTCCGCTTTGCCCACCTTTCCAGTTTGTCCAGGTCCACTTGGATCTGCATCCTATCCCCTAGCGTGACATTTTTACCCATAACTTAGTATCATCTGAAAACTTGGCCAGCGTACTTTCCACAGCTTCATCTAAATCATTGATAAAGATGTTTAACAGCACAAGGCCAAGAACTGAATCCTGCGGGACTCCGCTGACCACCTCCCGCTAAAATGATACAGATCCGTCCACTAATACTCTCTGGGTTTGACCCCTTAGCCAGCTCCCAACCCACCTGACCATGGACCCTACCAGTCCACAATCCCCCAGTTTGTTTGTTTTTTTATTATATAAGTGTGTCATGGGAGACCATATCAAAGGACTTTTAAAAATCCAAGTACAGGACATGAGAGATTTCTCCCACATCTATGCAGTTTGTTACTTGATCATAGAAGAAGATGAGGTTGGTCAGACATGACCTGCCCACAACAAAACCATGTTAGCTGTCTTTCAGCATCATGCCTTCTGCCAGTCTCTCAAATGGATTTCTTGATAATTTTTCCCAAAATTTTACCCGATATTGAGGTCAAACTGACCAGCCTATAGTTTCCCGGATCCTGCTTCTTCCCCTTTTTAAAGATTGGCACCACATTGACCCTTTTCCAGTCTTCCAGGACCTCTCCTGAGCACCATGAGTCTTTAAATACTTTTGCCAATGGTTCTTCAATGACTCCAGCCAATTCCCTCAACACTCTTGGCTGTAGTGCATCCAGTCTTGCCGATTTGAAGACATTCAGTCGCTCTAAGTGCTTTCTCACCACTTTGACACTGACCATTGCTTAGCAATTTCCTTTCCCCATACCCTGCATCCATCCAGTATCCAACCAGGTGGGCGACTACCATTTGTATGCAGGAACACCGACACAAAGTATTCATTAAAGAGTTCAGCTTTCTCGTGACTGCCTGTTATGAGCTGTCCTGTCCCATTCTGCAAGGGCCCCACATTTCTGTTGGTTTTCCTCCTTCTCCCTACGTACCTAAAGAAGGAATTCTTATTGTCTTTGATTGTGGTTGCCAACCTGATCTCAGTCACTGCCCTTGCCTTCCTTACCCTCTCCCTACACATACAGGCTATACTTGTGCATTCCTCCTTGGTGACTACTCCTTGTTTTCACACTCTGTAAGCATCCTTTTTCTTTTTTAAGCACTCCTTGACTGTGGTAAGCCAAGAGGGCTTCCTGGCCCCTTTACCACCTTTCCTGCATATAGAAATGGACCTTTTCTGTGCTCTGAGGATCACTCCTTTGAGGAATGACCACCCTTCCTGAACTCCCTTCCCTTCCAACCCCTCTTCCCTTAGGGTCTTTTCCACTATTTTCCTAAGTTCATTGAAGTCAGCCTTTCTGAAGTCAAGCACCTCTGCCCTACTGGCTGACTTCCCTGCCCAATGACAGATAATGAATTCTATCATCTCATGATCACCATACCTCCCAGATTACCCTCAATCCTCAGATCTCCCACCAGATTGTCCCCTTTGGCTAAGACCAAATCCAACAAAGCCTTCTCCCTACTTGGCCTGTTTACCTCCTGTACTAAATAAAGTACTTCCACGCAGGTAAAAGAGCTGTATGACCAGTCAGATCTGGTCAAGTGCTCCTTCCAGCAGATGTCAGGGTAATTGAGGTTACCCATGACAACCATGTCCCCTGAATATGCAGCCTGCATCAGTTCTCTGTAAAATTCCAGATCCAGCTCCTCCTCTTGGTGTGGAGGACCATCAAGTCCCCTTCTTGTCCCTTCCATATCTTGACCTACAGGGTCTCAAGTTGACCTTCTCTTGAACAAATTTGGATCTCTGAGGAGGCATACCACTCCTTTACATGGGGAGCTACACCTCCTGCCTTCTTCCCTACCCAGTATGTTCTGTGCAGCCTGTAGTCCTCTATGCATACAGCCCAGTCATGCTTGGCATCCCACCAGGTCTCTGCTATTCCAATGAGATCATATTCCCTATTTGCTACCAGGAGTGCTAGTTCTTCCTGCTTATTCCCCATACTCCTAGTGTTGGTGTATAGACACCTAAGTCCCCCATTGGTAATCCCCGGTTCCCTACCGTCCCAATGTCATTCCAGCCTTTTGACACCTCTCTAACCACTCTCTCCATGTCCTTCCTGCTTGGCTGTCTCCCAGCTGGCATTCCTGTATACATACCCATTCCTTGATGAACCTAGTTGAAAGCCCTATATATTTGTTGAAGCTGAAGACTATTACACTATTATACTATTTTTTAGAATAGAAGCAAAAAATCTACACATCAGTACTTCTGTTTTTCTTCTGGACACATGCACTTCTCAACCCCAAAACACACAACTCCCATGTCACAGTGGTGTCACACAGGGGTGTCATAGTGGTGCCACACTTCCAGACAGTCAGAACAACTCAAAAGATACAGGTGCTCTTTCTTATCTAAACTGCTTCATCAATTCCAGGGTCTTCAAACTCATTCCTGATCTTTCCTTTATTTTTATAGAAAATGTAATACCATGTAATATATAATCAATTGGCTGAGCAACTTAGTTTGTTATATCCTTTAAAATGTGGAAAAGTTGTTCACATTGATTAAACTGTCTTCTTGCTCCTACCTTATTAAGTGTATCCAAGGCTGCTGTTGCAGCCACTAAAGCAGGTTCAGCTTTCCTCAGGTCATCCTCACATTCTCTCTGTTTCAGAGATATTTCTGCTTGGATTGCTGCTACCTATTCAAACAAAGAATCTTAAGGTTTTACATGGACTTAAGGATCCTGTGGAAGAAATCAAGCTTTGCGTTGTGGTTGTATTAGAATTGGCAGAGCCATCTAGGTTTATTTAAAGCTATACAAGTGATCACAAGGAGGGTTTTCAAAGGAACTCTGACCTCTACAAGTTTACAAGCATATATATACTTTAGACAGTGAGAAAAGATACAGAGTTCAGACAAAGCAACCTTGAGAGAAACAGAATGATGTTGATCATTCGTTTGTCACACGTAAGCAGTTTACTTTTTCAGCAAACACGTTGTGTTTTGGGAACAGCTATCAGTGTTGTGTTTTTGGGTTTTTTTTTTGGTTCCTGGAAAGGAGGAGGTTAACATCTGCACACAGACTAAACAAGGCATGAAGGTTTTTCCTTATTTTAGAACATTTTAAAACACATAGCATCAGCATCTTTTTCTCTTCTCTTTCTCTCTGTTTGTCTCTCCTCTTAGTCAAGTAAGAGGCCTGGTTAAACTTATTTCCACAATCCAAATCTGGTCATAGCTGTTTAACCCTGAGACAGAGGTTTCTAATGTTGGTATATGCTTGTTTATATCAATTAGTAAGGGTTTCTTTTTGTTTTGGTTTTATAGTAATCATATACAGCTCTTTCACACTGCAAGCTTCTTCTATACCTCCCCTAGCCTGGATCTATGCAAATAATGGGGGTTTCTTTTTGGTTGCAATTCCACCCCCGGCAAAGAAATTAAATTTTTAAAAAACATCAGTTTTGGGTATTTTGAAGAAATTAAAAAAAAATGATTTTAGGTAGATGCAAAACATTTCATTTGACCTGCAAAGTGCTGCTTCCAAAACAAAAACCCTAAATATTGGAGCATTCTGATTATTTTCAAATATTTTTCCTTTTTTTCTTCAAAAAAAAAAGTTTCTTGCCAAATTTGATCTGAACTCACAAATACAAGCATCAAACTGCATTTTTCAGTACATTTACCTTTTTGAGGGGAAAAAAAGACCAGTCTGAAGCCTGATACAGAGTGCAATATGCTTCTAGAAAGGAAGAAAAGGGAGGAAGAGACAGCTGTGCTGATGAACAAGACAGTTGTGTTGATTTAATTTCAGTTGTTAATTTTTAAATATAGTTCAATTGGAGCAACCTTCTCTGTGGATGTTCTTCTTCTGGTTTGAGCTAATAATAAGAATAAGTCACTATAAATTGAAATCACAGTGTCCATACAAACTTTGTCACTGATATAACTAATCAAATCACTCAGGTTATATTACTGAAAATTTCTCATGCCAACAAGCCTCTATGAAGGGTTTCTATATCACTTGCAGTTACATATTTGGGAGATTATTGTTACTTATTTTTAAGGATACATTGCCTAGGGTTAAAGTCAGTTATACATCCTTTATCCTTGTACCTCATAACTCATGGCAAATAGCTTCTCACACATATTTCCTGTTAGGTCTTGCTTAAACGACGTCTAATTACAGAGAAAGACAGCACTAGAGCAATCAAGATACTAGTATTTGCGCTACGGTAGCAGTAAGAATCTAAAGACTTAACTAAAGCAGTTGTTTTTACAACAGTTTGCACTGGCAGCAACCCAATATTTCCATTTAATATAGATACTTCCACACATGCATAGAAAACTGAAGAAACTAGCAAAACAGAAATAAATGGCATACAACATGCTGCCAGCCACTATTCAAAGTAAAGTCTAACAGTGGTCAAGTTTTTAGGCTGGATTTTTCCTGAATTTAGGCTGAATATGTGATGGTAGATCTTACTGTGTTCCCATTGCCTCTCCGAATCATGCTGGACTGGTCCAAGTAAGCTACTGATACTGATATTAATATATGGGAACAGACTATAAGTTCTACAGTAGACAAGGCACACTAATTGACTGGAAAGAAGTATTTAGCTTTGTTAGTCTGAAGCCAGGAAGAAGGCAGGGTAAAGGTGAGCAACTCCATCTGATGAAATGAGTTGTTGCTCACAAAAGCTTATGCATTTGATTTAGTTAGTCAACACCTCAGGGCTTCTGAGCCAAGGCTAAATTGCTGGGAAAGCTAGAAATAAGCAGTACAGTCCTATGCACAAGGAAATTGGACTTGTGAATGTGATGACTGAGGAAAACCATATAAATATAGACCATTATATCAGCTGGGGGGAGTGGAACAGCAAGCCAGTCCGGTTTCACCCTCTCAACATTCTACCAAAGAGATTCTGCTGGTCACAGTTCTGGCACTACATTGGACTAGCATGGTGACCCTATTTTTTTGCTTTGACTGGCTCCTTTAGCAGAAGGCAAAGCATATCGCAATATGCCTACATCTATAAGACCAGTCTGATATGGCAGACTGATGTCACCAGAGAGTAACTGCAATCACCCACAAGACAGCAGCAACTGCATTACCAATCTTTAAAACTCAATATAAGCAATGGCCATAAGCAAATTCTTCTAGCCTTTTGTGCAAATTTAGAGTTATGCCATAGGTCTGGGCATCTAGACTAGATGACCCTACTTATTCACTTCTTTATGGGCAGGGTATCACTCCAGGCAGCATCTGGGAAAAGCTTTAAAACTTAGCAAGCTCTCATAACTTTTAATTAAAAACCAATACAGAGGGAAAGCTAAAATAATTAAAAGAAGCATGATCAATTTTTATCAATTATGAAAAATATTCATGGTCTACTTAGCTAGAAAATGAATCCTTATTTGCAGATCCCTTTTTATATTAAACAAAATTAAAAGCTCATATTAATGTTTATAAATCATCTGCTTTTTAAAATAGCTTTAGACTGACATAACACAGAAAGATGCCATCAGCCCCATTAAAATTGTTTGGAAGAGCAATAAAGCAACTAAAGAGAGTGTAGTAATTGTTAAAGGCACGAAGTCGTGCCTCAAGCCTGAAAAAATTGCCTAGAGGTGTGATTATCCCAGGATAATCATGTCATGTATTGTACTTAATTAAAATTACTTCATTAGACGTTTATGTTAAGGATATTTCCTGATGTTCCTACTACATTCATTGGAACCATTCAGGAAAACGACCCTTGAAAAAATGATTGATGAGATCCTGACCTTTCCAGTCCAATATAGGCAAATTTAACACCACTATTTGACTTTAAGCTTATTCTTGTATAAAAATTGGTGTGTAACATTGATGTCAATTAACAGAATCTGGGGCAATACAAAAGTCCTAACAGTGTATCCATTCCTTTGTCTTCAGTGAAAGCAGAATGAGGCTGAAAGTTTGAGGGTGAAACAGCTAACTGATCATCACAAACAAAGTGAAAGGTTTGACACCTCACCTGACAGTTACAACCTGAAGTTTTAATTGCCTGAAATAAAAACATCAAAATAATCAAGTGTTCTGAAATATTAGAAAACTCCTCTCTCTGGTGTTGATAATGGAAATGTGCTCGTCCTTCACAAGTTAATTGTGCCTAAAGTCTGGGGGAACTTAAATACATCTGTAGTTACCACATGATATTAAAATGTATTAATGATATTTTTACTATAAACAGGATGGTCTATTTGATGGTTTGTGGTTTTGATTCAGAATGAAACCCTTCATGAAACCTATTCATCACTGAAGGTTAACAGCAGAAGCTATTCTATCTTTTTAATAGCTAAATTAGTTACTTCCTTAAAGCTAAGCTGAATGGAGAAAAAGTCCAAATGAAGCATCTAGATTGCTAACACATCTTTTATAGAGGCTCTATTTCCAAATTTTGAATTCTAAAATAATTTTAAATATAGGAAGGCAGTGGGACAGATGTCTATAATAATTAAGTCCTCTAATTTACCTAAAACCCCAAAGCCTTTATAAACCTGAAGTGCTCAGAGATGGCTCCATGACCTTTCCTGTATTACAAATAGGCCTGATTCTCAAGATCCACATCCATTATATGCTTGAATGAGCTCAGTATTTATTGTTCTTTCATATCATTAAAAGAGCTAAAAGGTTGGGAAAATGCATAATGTAAAGAAAGGTCAAGTGGTAATCATGGTGTGAAATGCTGTTACATGTGTAAGTATAATAATTCTTTAGATTTTATGCTCCCCGGAGAGGAAGTTGTTCAAAACTCTTCACCTACAAAGGTTTATTTTGTGCTAAATATAGCTCAACAGCACTAAACGATGGAATTAGGCTGACCTTCTGCTCTTCAGCATCAGCAATGGCCTTTTCCTGGCTCACTTTCTCAGTCTGAAGCCCTATCTTAGTAATCAAAGCTTCAGCATCTTGATTCCTCAGTTGCAGTTCTGCCTCTTGAGAGGCAAGTTTGGATTTTAGGTCCTCTACCTATAGTAGAATAAAGACAACATTATTTTGAAGCCATTGTTATTAGGTGTATTCCTAAAAGCTTATAAAACATGTATGTCCCCTTTTTATAAATGTATGATACTTGGATAAAAACTGGCATTGGAAACAAAGATCAAATAACATTTCAAAGTTCAACAGTAGCCACACCTTATTTTCCATATTTACCTGTTGAGGTTTGTTTCCATACAGTAGCTCAATTTTTCTGGCTCAAAGAAATTTGTTGATCTAACATATTGTACAAAGCAATCTAACCACACCCACCAGAACTGTGCCCAAACACTAAGTCGTCCAGTTTCCGAGAGCCCAAGATGTTCTTGAAACCAGATGTCTCAACTCCTTGCCACAGGGCCTGGCACTGATGCAACAATATAAGTAGCAGCAACAGGACATGTTGGAAAATGCTCAGCAATCACTTTGAAGCAATAACTCCAAAGGAGACTTGCCAAGGGGTTTAGAGAAATTCAGGTATTGGTTAACAAAGGCCACCAGTTTGCTGTAAGAGCAATTTATCACCTGACAGGTCATATAAAAATATCCAGGAACATATTTTCCATGGGTAAGGGAAATGTTTAAAATTTGTATATATATAAAAAATTTTCATTCATCAGGTGTGTGTGTGTGCGTGTGTGTATATATATATATTCACTTCAGTTTTTCCTACCCTTCCAAGCATCTTATATGGTTGATATGACAGGATATACCATTAAGCAAAAAGAGATTCTGCCTAACCTGATATGGAAACTGATGCCAAGTTTGAGAAAGAAAGTTATTAGTGGGACTAAAACTCCAAGCCAGCAGAGGGTTGGAAGATCCTTTTTGTTTGCTAAAAATTGTTTAGGAGGAACCCTGAAACCACCCCACACTTCCTGACAATTCCTGGTAGTTACAAAACTTGCCGACTTCCCTGTGTTAGAACTCAGAGAACCTTTACACTTAACGCTCCTGAGGCACCAGGACACCTATATACCATTTGGTCTCCCAACATTGATTATTAATCCTGCTAACTGGATCATGATTGAACACAAATAAGCGCTTCGGCTTCCCTATCCTTCCAAATGCCCCACGAGGCTTTTTAAAAGGCAGATCATTTTTTCTTTTTGATTATTAAATTCATGACCCATTTTGAAAAGAGAAGGAGATAAAGCCCTGGCATTGGTACTACAGTCTCTTTCACAAAAGCTACTGTACAAACCAAATCCCTCCACCCATAGATTTTATAGATTTCATCTGATTTTTCATTGCTTCATGATAAATTTGAGGGAGTTCCATTTAAAATTGTTATGCAATGCTCCAGGTCATAAAACATTAATTCAGTTGTAAAGCTCTGTGGGAAGTTGCTCTTTTGCCTGCACAGCAAATATCAAATTAAAAATCTTATTAATGAATTATTGTGTTTCTAAGAGCACCTTAGATGATTAAAACTGATCTTTTTAAAGTCTTAATTTGCCTTTAAGCTTTTACTTTGGCCGTTTATGTTGTTCCATGTCTTAAACAAAGAGAATAAATGAGTTGGCTTTCATTCCGGATTCTCAGGCATTAGCACAATGCTGTGCAAATACTGTACCTGTGGAATTTGAAATACTTATATTTTATATGTAGAACACAAACCCCTTTTGGTTTTAATAAATACATTTCAAGATTATGGCAATCCCAGACCAGATGCATGTAAACCCATTTCTCTTAAAAGCATCTTGAGACACTTTGAGCTGGAAAGATACTACATACAATTAAAGACATTTTCAAGCATCAGGGAACTCCTGTATAGCATTGACTTTATATCCCAGAGCTAACTAGTCTAATGAAAAAAAGTGTTGAGACATTTGTATATACAGTTAGCAGCAATTATTGTGTAGGACTGAAAACAAAACAGTTTCCTTAAAAAAAGGGAAGATGTATGGGCAGAGGGGTCACAGAGAGAAATAATGTGAGTATCTTTCTTAATGTGACAGCTTACCTGAGAAGCTGTTGTTTTTAGCTTCTTAATGCCATTCATCAGGTGTTCCATGCGTTTGGATATCCGCTCACGTTTCTTCTCCAGAAAGATTTTATACAATGTTATTTGCTCCAGGAAACTTTTAGAAGTGGTGTAGTTATATTGCCTCTCATTCTGGTGATGTTTGGCACTCAGGTCATTCACAGTGGTGTGAGCATATACCATGAAATGGCAAATGGAATCTTGAATGTGTGGCTTAATGAAATATTGAGAGGAAAAGAAACGCATGTAAACACTATTGCGACAAAACATTCAAACTTTAGACACAGCTGTATACATCAGGTTAAGTTACAAAACTAAGCAAGCATCACTACTGAGAATAATTTTCAGATTTGAATTCATAACATAACTCTGCCAGTCATAATATAAAAATAAGTTAAATGATTCTCCTCCTCCAATTTTTAAAAAAATATAATAAATTTAATGTATAATTAGCTGCCAAGTCAACGTATGATTTCAGTCCCATAGAAACTGCACACTACATATTTCACAATATATTTAAATTATTTTTAAGTATCCCAAAAAGCTAAAAGTCGTAAGAGATGAACACTATTTTATCCTTAAATCTAGAGTTAATGTTTGAGGATTTGGACATTTTAATGTGGCAATCCTAAAAACCTAATTTCAGGTCAAAATTAAAATAAAAGGTATGTCATAGTCTTGCTTTCACCCCACTGATCCCTAAAAACCCCACTGCCATCATCCAGAATCCTATTCCTACTCAAGACAAAAGGAATCATGCCACTGACTTGAATCAAATAGGATTGGGGTTCATATGAGAGTACTTCAGAAGTTCCCAGTTCTTTCATCACTGATTTGCTGAAGGCCAGTGATAAAACTCACATTTACTGGAACAGGAATCAGGTTAGACAATGCTGAGAAGTTTAAAAATCACATGCTATGTATCTGCATTAAAACTACTATAAAGATTTGTGGAAGAAGCAAGGTTTTTTGGTGATACCTGTTACAGGACCAACAGTATAGTTCTTTCTACTCTGGATCCTGACATTGTTTTTTTGGACCAGTGAAAACTATGTAAATTATACCAGAGCAAATATGCCATGTGTCCAGGTCCTCAAGACCCCACCCAATGCCTAGTGAAGTCAAAGGAACTTTTTCATTGATTTCAGTTGGTACTATATTAGATATTCAATCAATTATTTCATGTATGTTGAAGTCAGCCACAATAGTTTGGCTGGAGTATGTTGTCTTCACCCACTTGGTGTAAGTGGAGAAGAAGGAAGGATTTCAAAGGAAAAATTTCAAAGGGAAGTCTTTGAGTTCATTTAATTCCTACTATTTCAAAATAAAACCTGCTCATAACAGTCTTATTTTGATTTAGAACACTGTTCACTAGGAGAAAGCCAGGAATAGAAAGCTCATGAGAATTAGTCATGGGCTTTTTTTTTTTTTAAATACACAATTTAAGAATATGAAGTGTACACATGCATGAATACAGGCAGTTCTCGGACTTATGACATAATTGGTTCTTGAAAACCACACCTTAAGTCGAAACGTTGTAACTCGGGACCAATTTTCTCATAAGAAACAAGGTTAGAAATGGGGGATTGGTTCCTGAACCAAGGCCCGATACCCTATTTTCACCAAATTTGTACTCCAAATTTGTTTCACCAGAATTTTGTACTCAATCAATTATGGATGAGTAATATAGCTACATTAATGTATTTATATTGTAAATAGCAATCATATTGATTTGGAAGGACTTCTTTGAGGTGACTTTGCTGGACTTTTTGAAAGGCTCTTGGTTGGACTTTTTGAAGGGTTCTTGCCTGGAGTCTTCTCAGGAGTCTTGGCTGCAGGTTCTTCTGTTGTCTTGTCTGCTTCCTTAAAGAAAGTGTCCAGGGAAGTTTGGACAAATGTTCTCCAGGGAGATGAGTGACACAGCGAACTTGTTCGCTGGCATGGTGTCACATAGGATCAAGCGTTGTAAAAGTTGAAACAGGTTGTCAATTTATAAACGTTGTAAGTGAGAAACATTGCAAATCAAAACGTTGTAAGTTGAGGACTGCCTGTACACTCGTGTATAACCATTATATAGGACTAAGGAAAAGTATTTCATGGTTTAAACTTACTCCCCCTCTATTACGTATAAAAATGAACAGAAAATGCTGCTATGATGACTTAAGCACATTGTTATAACTAACTTCCATTTTGTCCTCTATGACTTCTAACATACTTAACTTTATAATTTGTGGAGTCACATCTCCCTCATTTTAATGATTATTTATTGCATTCTGTACAAGATGAACCCAGTTCAATTAATCAAGGGAAGCCTAAAAATCAATTAATATGAATTAAATGAGCTACACCAACTCTTAGGAAAGTCACACATAATTTACCAAAGCATTGTCAATAATGCTTAGAGATCTTTTGGAAAATTGCTCATGAGTAGTTGTTGATGCAGTTAAACGTTTCAAGCCTACATCATTAATATTACAATCAGGCTGGTGCAGATAGACTTACAATTTTTCTCAGTAAGAAACCTCATTATTTTTCGAGGCTTTTAAAGCAAGCTTAAAAAAATACCAGCTTCATTACTGACTGCAACAACAGACATTAGAAGCAAGGACCTAATACAGAAATTATTGCAAAGGGAGAGAGCTGAACTATATTGCCTTTAAAAATCCTAAGTGAATAAGAGCTTGAACATCCTTTGTTAGAATAAAGGTGGCACAAACCAGCCAATATCAAGAAGTAAAAGACAAATCTGTTTTAAAGGGAGGCCAGACAGCAGAAATAAACATTTTAGGCACAGTTGAACAATACAGCCTCAAACAGAAATTTGTTTCAGTCTCTTTCTTTTTAAATGTCTATTATGCCCACGAACTTTACAGTAGAGGTGACCTTCCTGGCCAAAGACACCCTTCTTACATTCTAACTGGCTGGTACCCAGTCATGATCCTTATGAGAAGTCTCTACTCAGCAATACTGAAAAGCACTCTAACAACAGTTTCATTTGTAAATCAGTGAGGGAAGAAGTGGGTTCCGGTAGAGCTGGAAGTGGCCTGAGACAACTTGTCTCAATGGGGCAAAATAACTATTGTTATCAAGCTTAACAAAATGGCACAGCATGGGAGACATGCCGAGCCAGAGAGCAGCTGGTTGTAATTCACACTGTTTTTCAGAAAACACTAATCGTTCCCGAACAGACCTCTTTGATGATTGGTCTTCCCTGCATTTTCAATTTGTCACTTTCTCTTATGATAAGGTCAGCAGTGACAGCACTTCCTGACATTAACAGCTGTGGCTTTTAAAAGGGTCATTGTGGAACTACTAATTGCAGTAATTTCATTAGCATAAATTATTTATTCTGCCATTCATTTATCTCCAGGTTTTTTTTGTAATACTACATTGTATTTTTCAATATAAGCCCATTCAAGGATGCAGCCAAAGAAAATTATTATTGCTAATTTGGCCTTCTTTATTTAAAAAAACACAGTTGATACCATGAAAAAACTGATTTAACTGCCAAGCACTCAGAAATATAAAGAGGGAATGAACCTATGCTCCAGATAAGTTTGTTTTAAGTCAAATATATTCCATACGCCTAAAGACTGGACTGTGAGTTTGTATCCAATTAAAATAATGTAAAAAGGAACAGTTTGGGGTTGTTGTTTTTTGAACCCCCTTTACTCCCAATGCATCAAGAAAACCACTTTACTTTAGACTGTAGAGTACTGGCTTTCATTCACGCATGGTTTCTACTGGAGTTAAGAGGAGTTTTCCATGAATAAGTCCATGTATTGCTTTCCTTAGATTCTAAATCCTTCATTGCCAAACCAGCTATTCAGCCTTCTGACTATAGAACTCAGCTTTTGGCAACAAGCACCATTAGCTGAAATTACATCAAGCAAACAGCAGAAATAAGAGATGCCCCAGAACTACTTGATTGTGTAATTGAGGCAGTTATCAAAACAGAGGGGGAAACCTACCCTTTGTTAGTTTTTGGAACCAGACAGGACAGTTATTTCCAGCTGCATTTCATCATATGTTAAATTGAGTTTCACTGTATCTCTTAAATACAGTGAGTACATTAAAGAATGGCATATTTTCTTAAAGTGCATACTTTACTATGGAGCCTCTAGTACTAAGGTACAAGAGATCACAGCAGTAGAACTTCAGAAGAGAGCAGACATTTGTTTTGTTCACCAATTACTGATTCTCTTACTCCATGATGTCTGTTATGATGTGAATACAGTTGGTTGTAGGAAGCAAAGATTAGGTATCATATGAAGGTTAAACCCTTTAAATAGGGTATACATATTATATGGTTCTAAGGTGCGAGTTTTAGAGTATTACTTCAGTCCCAAATGAAGGGTATATTTACATAACATAATACACTGTTGTCAAGAGATACCCTGAGAGGCAGTGTATAATAGCTAAGTGCAACCAGAGTGTGGGGTTAACACAGCCATACTGCTTCTAGTATCCAAACTAGCTTATTGCATTCTATCATAAAGACACACCCAAAAGTTGTACAAATCACTTAAGCCCAATACTAAGCATTTAAATATCAATATTGCTACACAGGGATCTTTTTACAGATTTTGTGTGAAAGCATGTGCATCAATTTGTGTTTAATTTTTTTAAAGGGAAAATAATGCCCACCAAAATTCATGGTATTACTAGAATCCTAGAAAAGTAAGGTTAGAAGGGACCTCAGGAGGTCATCTATACCTCCGCTCATGGCAGGACCATCCCCATCTAAGCCATCCTACAGAAGCATGAACAACTCTTATCCACAACTTCCAGGCACAGGACACAAAGACACCAAGAACACCCTAACTTGCCACAGATAAACCATGGGAACAAGGGCACTGTCAGTGTCCTGCCACTGCAAAGAGAGGAAGTTGTTTGCTATAATACACTTGAGGGATGCATGGAAGAGGATTGTGATTTTTAATCTCTTTTATCCTCTGTTATTGTATAGCATGACCAGCATCTTCCAGCTGAATAATTTGTGTTTGGTTAAAGCAACTTCCAGGAAAGCATCCAGACTAGATCCGAAAACTTTAAGAGGTAAGGAAGCGACCACTTCCCCTGGTGGTTGGTCCATTGCAAATCTCTCACATTGTTAAAAATGTGCTCTCTCTCTAATCTGAGTTTGTCTGGCTTCACCTGGTTCTTCTAATGCCTTTTTCTGCTAGATTAAAGAACTGTTCAATATCCACTATTTTCTTACCTTCAAGGTTTCTATAAACCATTACAAGTCACCACTCTATTTTCCTTTAATAAAATAAATAGCTTTTTAAGTCTTTTATTGTCAAGGATGTTCTCCCCTAAACTTCTGAAGCTCTCTATAGTACTTAAGATGCTTTATAAAAATGCTAAACTGTATGCAATATTTCAGTAGCAGTCTCACCAACGTTGTATAGAGAGGTATAACTGCCTCCCTACTCTACTTCTGTTTATACAGCCAAGGTCCCCAGAAGCCCGTGTGCTAGCGTCATACTCGGAACTCATGCTCAGCTGTTTGTCCATTGTCATCCCCCTTTTAAATCACTTTCCAGGACTTGAGCATAATCTGCAAGTTTGTTGCCAAATTTAAATGTATACACTTAAGTGTGTTAAAGCACATTTTATCTAAATGAGCCTAGCTTCCTTGACAACCGGTGGATTACTCATAATAGATGAAACTCATAATTCAAAATACAGAGAAAGGCTGAAAGGCTGTGGCTTGAGAGAAGGGTTGGTGCAAGTCCAGGCTCAGTTCATATGAAGTTCTGTGCTTACGCTTCCAACGTGACTGAACATGCAGTGGGTGTTGGTGGGGTGAGGGGCTAGGAGTGGAATAGCCTGGAATAATTGCAGAATGTAAATTGCTCATTTCATCTCTATGCTGCAGGCTGAAGTTACCATAACATGAGCTAGGTAGCACAGCCCAGGTGTTAACTCTCACCTGAAGTGGAGTAAATTCTGACACACTCAGAGGGCATGAGTTAACAGGCATTAACAAGTGGACACTGGTGTTTTAAATGCCTAACATGTAATTTCACCCATACTACCTTCTTGGGGTAAAATTCTGGCCCTATCTGCCTTTGGGTTCAAACTCTCATTGGCTTCAGTGGATCCAGGATTTCTCTCTAGCAGTGAAGAAAAACCTTGTTTTCTCTCTCTCAACCTCTAGATACAGTCTAAACTTTAAACTGTTGCCATAATCCATTTTTTTTCAGTCAGCTCAGTCTGAATGGTTTCGTGTTTCCTTTCTCTAAGGGAATTTAAGCAGTAAACCCAGCAGATTATTTTTATAGGGGCTGTGATATTCTACTGGTATGATTTTTTTCTCTTTCAAAGGTTTTATGGTTCTTTTTCCAATTCACTTTCATGTTAAAGACTTTGGTTTTACGGATGTTTTTCATTACTAAAGCCTTTGTAATTCTTAAACCATCTGAGGTGATTAAAAAGTGGAGCATAAGCTATACTAATAAGATAATCATTTAACTGTAGATGTGGTGTTCCTCTTCATAATGCATTGGATGGTATTGTCAGACTCTATACCAAAAGCCTGGGCACAACTGAGCTGTGGCTAAACAGCTCCTTCTACTAAATGGAAAAAAAAGACTTAAATATGTAAAATGAAGCAAATAAAATTATCCATGTAACAGAGAAGTGCTACAAAGAAAATAACCCATCCATAAATCTTCAGCTAACGAAAGAGGACAGACAGTAGCTCAGAATCTTCATTTTTTAGGGTGGTCCTCTACTATCGTGTTTTCCTTGCTCTCTTGATATCCTAAAACACCTTTGCTGTGCCTTTTATTTTCTATTCCTCCTGATCATTCTTGCTTCATTTTTTCTACTTCTCCTCAGACACACTCTTTGCTGACTTTCTTGCATACCTTGCTTGTCTTTCTGATTCAGCTCTGCTTTGCTTTTCTCTTCCTTGCTTGTCGTTTTTTGGGGGTGTTTAAACATAATTGTGTTATATTCTCTCTTTTTTCACAGTAACTTGGATCACCTCTGTTCCAAGTCCACCTTTTTTCTGCCTACAAATCCTCCTCTCATTCTCTTGTTGGTCTTTTTG